CTTCCCCAGTCTGGTTTAAACAGCCCCACCCGTCTCCTCTCTCTTTTTTGCCATCACCCCCGCCCCACTCTCTTCTCCTCCCTCCTTTCTCCCTCTCCCTCTCCCTCTCCTCTTCCTCCTCATCTTGTCCCCCACCTTCTCCTCCTTCATCCTCCTCTCTCTGCACCCCCACCTCTCCCACAAGGCCCTGTGCCGCCTGAGAATTTATGTATCTATTTTAACTATAGCCCACAATCCCGGATAAAGTGTAGGTATCTACTCTTGCAGCTCCCCCTGGATCAGCATTCCAGCGCTGCCCAGGGGCAGTCTCGCCTGCTTTGGTAAACACTGATCTAGAAAAATTCTTTGCATGTGGCTGTTCATTCCTGTTGGATCTCTCAGCTGCATTCAGGACAACAGGAGGGTGAAGGCAGCATGAGGGGCGGGCAGGGGTGGGGGGTGGGGTGGGGTGGGGTGTATAGTAGTGGAAAAATGAGAAAGAGCCATGAATGCATTCACACACACTCCTCAGGGGAGCCTGCATTTGGAGTCAAATGGAACTCAAGTGATTTTGCATTAAGGATAATGAAAAAAAAATGACGAAAAGGGATTATCTGATTTGAGGATGAACCAATTAGCAAAGCTAAGATGTGAGGCAAGTTATCACTGCAGCCAGTTAAATTTCATGTGATTAGCAATCAAATTATTTCACACCTAAACACATTCAATTGGTTCATTAAAATAAATGGTGCTGATTACAAAGACTTTAATCAGATACTTCATGTTGATGCCATGATAGATGGAACTGGCCTGTGAATAAGAAACTAGCTACGCTGAAACACAGAAAGAAAATATCTTGGCCGCTGTGCAGTTTTTCTTACTCAGTTACGAAGGGGAAGTTTTTCCAGTTTCTAAACAATGGACTATTCGTTTACTATTGGAATGTCTAAGTAGGTAAAGGACCAAAATACAAGGATCATTTAAAACCCTTGAGGCTTCAGATTTAAACTACAGCTCAGAGAAACAAGGTAGGATTTTGACCTTCTGAAAAGAATTCTATCTCTTATTTATACTATCAAGCTCCCTGTTCATTTGTCATAAAATTAGGGGAAATGAAGGTGGGTGACATCTCTTCAGAGCACTCCCCTTTTGTTCTCTTCTCTCAAGGTTAAAACCACAGAGGTTCTTAGAAGCCTGCGCTCACGGGTTATGCTGCTTTCCTTCACCCTTAATGGAAAATGCAAGGTGTTTACTTAGAGGATACGAGAAAGAATTCAAGTGCAATTTTTGTATCTGATCCTCTGTGACACCAAGACAACTCGTATAGTCTTTTCAGCAGGTTTCAGGCAGTTGATTCTCCTGCATGGCAATCCTACGGGCCCCGCGTTAAGCAGCTCCGTGGAGTTTTCAATGGCTGTCATCTTATGAAATAGATCACCGGGCCTTTCTTCTATGTTCCCACTAGACTGGAACCACCTGCCTTCTGGTTCTCAGCCAAGGAGCTCCTGAACCATGTGTACCACCCAGAGACCCCATAGTGGTGCTCTCACAACGCCTACACATTATGGCACAGCCGTGGTGTGGTGTTTCCAGCTGCAGTGTTTAAAGCGCACGGGTAGGATAGCACGAGCTCCTTCTTTGCTTCTGCTTTCTCCTCAGCATTATTCATAGGCTGTACAGTCAGCAGCTGTTGTATTCTTGCAAGAAGCAAGCAACAAGACAGCATCTTAAAGCACTTGCACAGCAAACTTCACTCCACATGACTTTGTTCCGTTCATTTACAAAACGGATCCGCAGCTTCACCGTTGAGATGCTAGCTGGTCCATTCTCCCTAATGCGAGTGGGGGAAGACGCGAGCAACGAGAAAGGTGAGAGCACCCACAGGGAGGAGGGAAAAAAACAGCAGCAGCACTGTGCCACCCTCTGTGTCTTCTTGCTTGGCTCCCAGGGTGAATGATGAGCTGGGCAGCAGCTTCAGCCCTCCAAGGAGCCGGGAAGCAGCCATCCCCAGGCCCTGGGTAGGAAGCACCTGGGGCCAAACAACTGGAAGCAGGTATAGCTGGAAGCATACACAGCGCGTTCTCTGTCTACTGCCTCCTCTGGTCTCCCTAGGTTGGGGTTTCTCCCAACACACCCCTAAAAAGACAAGTACCTTCCTCTGTTGAATCTTGTTTACTTCCTGTCCTGTCAGGCATAAGCAGGGTGGGGTTGGGCAGGGTAACAAAACCCAAGGTCTACCCTGCGGCCACCTTGACTGCCAAATGTACGAAGGCACACCCTTCGGCTGGTGGGGATAGAACCAGCCTGGCATGGACACACCGAATTGGCCAGCTCTGGCTCAATGGTTAAGCACTCAGCTGCTTACTGAAAATCAGTGCTTGGAGCCCACCAGCGGCTTTGTGGGAGAAAAGAGCTGACGGTCTGATTCTGTCATATGACAGCCCCTGGGCAATTCAAAGGGCAGCTCTACTCTGTCATACAGGGTCACTGTAAGTCAGAATCAAGCTCATGCCATCCAACACAATGATCACAATGGCAACAACCCTCTTCCCTGTCTAGGAAAGAAGTTGACTGAGGAAGGCCATCGGCCACTTCGCCATGCCACACAGATGGGGAGAGCACAAGTCTCCACCATGTCCCATTCTCTGAACCTCAGTGTAAGGTCCCCAGCTGGAGTAACTGCTGTGGCCTCAGGTGGAGGCTGGGGTTCTCTGCATGACCACTTCAGGACGTTTCGAGTCAGTGTTTCCTCTCACCTCCGGCTGAGTGCTTCATTGTATCCCTGCTTACCGCTCACAGGGGGAAAAAGAAACAGGAATGCACAAAAGAGGATGAATCTCTGCAAACCTGCTCTTTCGCTTTACTTTGCAACATATGCCTTTGAAATTCCATAAAACCCAAAGGGATAGGTAGGCTGCTGGGGCCCTGGAGAAGCAGAGGTGACCCACCCTTCATGGGGCAGAAAACCGTCCAATCCAAGTCCACAACCAGGGTGGGGCCTCTGCAACAGATTTCATTCTTCTTCATCTACTAGGTGATAACAGAAGAACCACCACCCCTTCAAAATGAAACAAAGCAGAAAAACAAGACAGTTGCTGTGGAGGCTTTTCCGATGCTGTACTACAGGATAGCTAACTGTCCTCCGAGAAAAACAAGACAGTTGCTGTGGAGGCTTTTCCGATGCTGTACTACAGGATAGCTAACTGTCCTCCATAGGGGTTCCCCAGGGCCGGTTGATTTCTAGGCCTTTCTCCCAAATTCCCTGACTTAGCAGTCAAGGGTGTACATCGCGTGGGCCCCTCCAGGACTCCAGAAGAAATGACAGCAGCACACAGTGACAGAGGACTTTGACGGGCAGGCTGACCACGAGCATTGATGGTCACCACCTCACGGGATCTGAACGGTAACTCTTCAAGGTAGATTCTTTCCTCTTGTTTTTGTTTCTTACCCCCACTTCACGGAGCAGCGAACTGAGGTTTATAAGGCTTGGGCAACTGTCCAAAGTCACACAGCAAGGCAGGATTTTTAGCCCTTGGAGACAACAGAGCTCTTAATAGCCGTGCTCTCTACTGCTTCCAATCCAACAGACCTTCCAACGATGGGCACTTCCATTTCCAATGAAGCCTGTTTAATCTGTGCAATGCCTTAATTACCTTCACCATCCTCCATTTCAATAGACAAGGTGTGGTGGAGTCGGCACAGAGGGTAGAGCAGTGAGGAGAGGGAGGGGAACCCAGGGAACTTAAATTATAACAGGGAAATGGCTTTGAAAGGGCTCCACGTAGGACCTGGAGCCAAATGGTTTGGCAGATGTGACCATGTTCATTTGTGATGACAGGGACAGTCTTTTTTCCACCCCACTTTGAGCTGCCTTTATAGAATTTTATCTTTTATGTCCAAAGATCAAATAAAAAAAAAAGATCACATTTAATGAGAACTAGGGGAAATAAACTGGTGGCAATTAAAAAGTAAAAATAACCTCCCTGTGGCTTTGAGACCACAGGAGTTTTCTAATTTTAAGAGACACAGGCAAATCACTTAAACAAGGCTGCATTCGTCTCGTTTCCCCTCCACGCCCACGGCGGTTACAGTTATAGACAGTCAGCGCCCTTGAACCCACGGGATGGTGTTGTAAATGAGAGTACCACCAGGCCAAACACATCAACTCGCAGACGCAAACCCATAGCCTGAAAGTCCAACCCAAGTCTCCTTGGGAACCAGTTCTTTTGTGCCAAAGGAGGTTAATCAGATTTAGAAAAGGTCATGGAATCCCCATTCGTAATGAGCAACCAGCCTGCAGCCCTGTTTTTACTCTCCTCAGACTCGGAACACCACGTCTCCGCCCAGGCCAAGATCCAAGAAATCCTTCCTTTGCTTCCTGAGTTTCCACATGCAGATTTGGTCTGGACTAGACACCGAGGCAGGCCTGTGCTCTTCCTCGAAAGATTGAGCTCCTGTGAGAAGTCTTTCAGACTTCGTTTTAGAAAACCACTTTTGTCCTCTACTGCTGTCAGGTTTTGCCAAATTTGGGGGAGCCCTCCTTGATCTCAGAGCAGTGGTTCTCAACCTTCCCAATGCTGTGACCCTTTCATACAGTTCCTCATGTGGTGGTGACCCCCACCATAAAATTATTTTGATTGCTACTTCATCACTGTCATTTTGCTACTGTTATGAACCGGGCAACCCCTGTGAAAGGGTCGTTTGACCCCCAAAGGGGTCGCGACCCACAGGTTGAGAACTGCTGTCTTAGAGTCAAGCTAGTGCCTGGAAAAACCGTAGGGTGACAGCAGCTTCTCAATGAGCCTGTAGACACACAGAAACATAGAATCACCTGTTGGTAGTCCCTCAGAAATATTTCCTGGAGTTTATTAATAAGAAGCATAGTAAAGAAAGAATGGTGAGAGGCTGACTCTTTGGCTTGAAGGCCTTCATTTTGCACCCTAAAAGATTTCAGACGCTCGGTTCTAAGGTCAAGCTTATCCTCTGACTGTATAACCCATCCCCCAGCATCCTGTCCTTACCTGTAGAACGTGGCATAGTCCACAGTTGAGTGGCAGGTCTGGAATTCCCAGGATTTGAGTTTCTGGCATTCACGATGGGCTCGGAGCTTGACCTTCACTGTCCCTTGACATAGTTCAGGCACTGGTTTTCTTTGGGGTCTGTTGCAGAACTCATTGGACTCCACCCTCCAGGACTCAGCAAAGTCATCCACATCAAATTTGAAGTTCCCGTCTCCGCCAATTAAGTCATCCCGCTTATGTCCATTGTAGTTCCCACAAAGGCCACAGAGCTTTCCCTTGAGATGAGGCGCTGCCATGACTTCTACAAAACTGTCTCCATCCCAGGATATTTCCAAACCTACATGAAGCAGAGAGAAAAGGGAGGTCAACCACTCCTCCATCTACAACAACGTGTATCCTTATACAGTCTCAAAGAGGACCCTCTAAGAGTTGCGTCACAGGTCTGTTCAAATTGTAGTTACTTTTTGATCTTGCCGTAGTGAATGTTATGTGACATTACATGAAGCGCTTGCTTGCTGAAGTTCAGAATAGTTTGTCCTTCAAACAGTATCTTATGCGCCTTTAGTATATATGTGATGACGCCTTGACCGTGTTTCTATAGGTTTAGAATTTAGCCCTTTCTTTTTTTTTTTTTTTGCCCTTTCTTATTGTCCCTGTGTTGGCCCAAGTCAAGTCTTCACTTAGGCAACTCGTGGCCGCATTATGGAAATGAGAAGACAGCAAAGGTGAGAACGTTTTAGAGTGATTCGTTTTCCTTATATGAACAATTTGCCCCGGCATAAAGAAAATCCGCCCTGGAACTTCTCAGAATGCACGCAGTCTACTAGGCGACCCACAGAGATGGCCTCTTTTAACAGAGGAGTCTCTGCGTCCCATGTGTGTGTTGCTGAATCTGACCCTATTGGGTTTCTGACAAAAGCTAGTCTTATGTTTTGCCCATCTTCGGCTTCTGGAAAGAGCACGACTGACGTTCCTCCTGAAAGGCTCTGTCTTTGTTTCTGAAAGATTAAGATCAAGCGATGAGCAGATGTTCAGAGGATGTTCACAGGCACAGGGGGATGAGGTAGTTATGGTCAGAGAGAAAGAGAGAGATCATGTTTGGATGTGAAACTGGCAGAAGGCAAAGGCAGTGTGAGGTAAGATCGATACAAAAGCCCCAAAGGATTGTAAAAAACTGCTACTCCCTACATTTGAGCGTGATGCAGATGAAGAGAAGTCTGGCCAAACAGCATTCCCACAAGTGAACCACACAACTGTGGTAAGAGCTGCAGATCTCTCCAGGAAGAATGATTGGTTGAAGAAGTTAGTGGACAAAAACTGGACTTCACACAAGATAACTGGGAAGAGGACTCGACAGAAATCACCTTACAGGCAATGAAAGCAACGGAAGCACTCTCGGACCCCGGCAAACAGGAGAGAAGAGTTCTTGGTCGAGAGGAGGAATTGAAAAGGCCAGGTAAAGAAAAGCAGGAAGGACTCATCAGAAAGTCTCTCTTGGAAGTCACTGTGTGACCAGAAGAGGGTGATGGAAGGAGGTGATCAGAGAAGACACAAGGCTGACCTCGCTACCTGTTAGACTGACCTATCATGTGACCCTCACTTCTCAGAGAGCATTCACTCTGACAACCACAACTATCATGTGGAATGGCTCCTTTTTCCTCATATGCCACCAGCTAACAAACTGTGTGACATCCAGTGTGTGCTCGAAAAGTGACCGAATTACTCCTTAGAACCTGAAAGTATCAATTCTGTGAAGGCAAAAGGATTGCGAGGAACTGAAATAGCCACTTTGAAAAAAGACAAACAACCTAGAAGATGATGTGTAATAAACTCTCGAAAGGAGAGAAGAAAATTCACCTCACAAGTCCCGAGCCAGCCAGCTGCCCAGCAAGAGAAACAAGGAGAGAAAATCCATGCCATACAGCCCTCAAACTGTTAGGGCAGAATTCCAAAGGTTTTCCATGTTGCAAAATTTTCCAAACTGCAAATCTCTTTCCTAGACAGCAGGAAAATACTGTTCTTTAAAGTACCACAAATGGTTGAAAATTCAGACCAAAAGGGCTCCAGCGTCGTTTCTGACCATGATGTAATCAAGCTGAGGCTTTGCACAACTGTGTTCTTGGGAATTCCATTCACAGGGAACAAAGTGATCGCTCTGTTCGTTCTTTGCAGTGAGCAAGTCGCCCAGGTTTGGAAAGATGCACACACACTGTTATAAGCAAAGTCCTCTCCAAACCCTGGATGCCTCTCTCCTAAAACCTGGTCCCCCAAAAGAAGAGAGCAGTTTGTAATCCACTTCCTCCTTCCCTGTGTTATGATTACATTAGGATTTTACTAAAGCTATCCTAGGCTGCCCCTTGTGGAGCAATAGCTTTGCCTTTGGCCGTATCACTCACCTAAGTGTCTGTGTGAATATTTTTACCCTCGACAGGAGTAAAATCCATGCAAAGTAAATTAAAAGTAGTAAAAGGCAAGGAGAAAACAAACAAAACTAATAAGTTGCAATTGAGGAAATTGCTCTTCAAAATGATATTTTAAATAGGCATCTTGTGCTATCAGAACTTTGGGGAACATGTTTGAGGAACAGGGGGATGCCTTTCTGCAGCTGGGATGAGTTTCCTTACATTTATGCCTGGGAAATTTGGTAGAAATAACTGCCAGTCAGAAGGCTCAAAACTGAACCGTATGTCCCATCTGGGGATCTGAGCAGCAGCTCATTCCTTCCACTGTAAGAAAGGGCCTTCCAATTGTCCCTTCTTCCCAGTGGATGTGTCACCAACACGTTCTTTACCCTTCAAGGGTGTGACCTTGCTCCAGGCTTGTAGACAGTTTGGCTTTTATTTTGGTAGTTTTTGTTTTTTGGGGTGGTGGGTGTTTGCTTCGCTTTGTTTTGTCTCTCGGCTGCTGCTGTTGCTGCTATTCCTATTGTCCATGAAAAGGAAACGGGAGGTGCAGAAATGATAGACGTATCGTTAAAAATATATAAGTAAATAAGAACCCAGAACCCACTGCTGTTGAGTGGATTCCAACTCATGGCAGTTGTATGTGGTTCCCAACAGAACCATGTTTCATTGCATAGCATTGACAATGGCGGTGACCTTTCGAAAACAGATAACTAAGTCCTTCCACCGACTTGCCTCTAGACGGACTCAAGCCACTACTAACCTTCAGTTAGTAGCCAGTGTTTGACCACTGCAGAAGATGGAGGGTTTTCCTGTTCAGATTTCTCCCACTGCCCTCCATCCTCCAAATCACAACAACTGAGGGATAGTTTCTCCAGGTTCATCAAGTGAAGAACTTGACCAAAAATAAACTTTAAGATGACACACAGACACATTTGATCATCCTTTCAGGTGGATCTGATGTGACCCACTCAGGTAGAGATGTTGAAGTGAACAGATGGCAAGAATGTAATATTTGAAATGTACTAAGTGTCAGGAGTTAACATGTGGGGAATGGTGCTAAGCAGTGCTCTTCTACGCCAGTAAGACTTACTTGGCCCATTTTGTGCCCCAGTTATTATTAGGTAAGGGGCAACAGCCTAAACCTGCCCCAGCGATATGGCCACCTGCGCTTCTCTGCAAATGATGCCATCATGAAATGCAGAGTCCGTCAACCAAAGGGGTAAGGAGTCATTGTCCCCCTTTCCCATTCCCCAGATGGAGGCTAAAGAAAGCTGTTTTGAAGAAGCGACCCCTGGATCCAATGAGCTTATGAAATGGAACATCTCTGGAAGAAGAGCACTCCAAGGAAATATGCTATTTGAAATAGACAATCAATAGGTGATAAAAAGAAATGCCCCTAAGGGGCCAGACAACTGAGATTTCTACTCAACCAAGTAGAAATCACTGTGGTCTAGGAAAGGAATTAGTTCATTCCCAGGACCACTGCAAAGCCAGGAATATGTTTCTTCCAGGGGAAGCAGAAAGCTTGTGGGATTCTCAAGCTATAGGAAATTGTTCGGTTGGATATGAAGAAAGCCACATAAATTACTAGCATCATGTTAAGAGAACTGGAGAAATAGAAGACAGCATAAAACTTAAGTTCAAGGCCTAAAATAGTTAAATTTGCTCATCTAATTCTGGTATTTATGATCCCTTTATTGTTTTCTTAGCAGTCTAGTCCTTTGGCTCATTTTTACACCATGGAGTCCTTACAAAGAGTGCACTTATTCCATAAGGCATTGCCAGCTGTGAGTGGACCAGTATTGAACCCCCTAGGCTGTTAACAATCTTCTGTATCCAGGATCTCTTTGAGAACTGAACTGCGGTTGACTAATAATTTCCATATCACTAGAAGCCATTGTGTTCCGCTGGCTTGCATATAGACAGACAAGTGCTTCTAATTAGTATAGTGTAATAATGTGTAATCTTGTGCACATTTTACAGGGAGCCACAACCATTGCCTCCTCTAAAGGAATAAGCAGAGGCCTAAAATGCAGAGTGGCTAGTCTTCTCAATACAAGAACAGGTGTCTGAATGTTCTGAGCAAGACTAATCCTGCTAAAGTGGAGTAAGTTGAGCGAGCTCTTCACATCTGTTACCTTCAAGGTAAGGAATGAGACTCTCTCCCCCTTTACAGAATAGTACAATTGATGGCATGTTCTGTTCGCTAACTAGAAGCCAAGACTCTCCTTGGCTTCCTGCCTTAGTTTGACTAAGCTGACATTCCATAGACTCAGCTTATTTGATTGAAATCCTTACACTCTAACAATTAACAGGATTCTGAAGGTGCAACAAAAAGCAAAGGGGAGTGTTGACTTGGTTCATATCACTGGAAAACTAGTTGAGTCTAGCTCAAGGCAACCCCAAGTGTGTCAGGGTAGAACAGCAGCCCACAGTGTTTTTTAAAAAGTAGACTATTAAGTCTTTCCTGTGAAGGGACCCTGGGTGGACTTGAACCACCAGCTTTTCAGGTAACAGTTGAATACCCTCAACTCAACTCACTGCCATCGAGTCAATTCCGACTCATGGTGACCTTATGGGATGGAGTAGAACTGCCCTATGGGTTTCCGAGACAGTAATTCTTTATAGGTATAGAAAACTTCATCTTTCTCCTACAGAACAGTTTGTGGTTTTGAACTGTTGAACACTATGCCACCCTTTGTTGAATGCCTGAGGACACCTTATTCCTGTTTATACTAAACCAGACTTGTTGCTGTCAACTTGTTTCCCATGCATAGTGACCTTATAGGACAGGGTCAAAGTGCTCCAAAGATGTCCCAAGGGAAGCAGCCTGCCATATCCTTCTCCCAGGGAGCAGCTGGTGGCGTCCAATCATCAGTCTTCTGGCTGGCAAGCAAGCATGTCACCAGTGTGCCCAGGACTCCATCTGTTTCTCCATGGTCCCTCAAAATGCTTGATCTAGCCAATATTTCTATTCTGAATCTCAAGAATCTACAGCAACTGGAACCCAAGTCATAGTTTTATACAGTTAAATGATCAGTGTTAAAAAAAAACAAGCTATACCATGACGTCTTATAATCAGCATGCTCAAAGAAATAACTTATGTCATGAGGATGCACAGCTCAATATGCCCTTGACAGACAATATATGTCCACTGTGGGTCACATGCCAGAGGGAAATGTAGAAGCCAGCTGAATGCATACTGTGGGCTGGTGCCTGCAGAAATGCACCCTGCTTTGAAAAGGTATCTCTCTGTTAAGTAGCCTTGCAGACAAGGCGAATATGAGTCTCAATGAACAAGTAAAGGCATTCCATAATCAGCCATGAAAAGTTGGGGCTACAAGGAAAGCATCTGTTTTTGATGCAGAATGAAGAGTCTAATCGCCCTGGGCAACTTGAGATGCTGAGAAGGGTCTCAGTCAACTGCCAGCACCATGGACCCCAAATCCCAACTGAAGGAGACCTTTCCAGCGCTGGCATCCTAAGTGTCTTCTAGCAGAAGCCAACGGTTCTGGCCATAAACTCAATGTGCAAACTTTCCCAGTGTCCGTGTGGAGAGGACAGCTGGTCACACATGGTCCCTCCACTCACACCCCGGCCCCCCTACATGGTAGCTCCATCCTCTCACGCATGAGACAACCAAGTAGGATAAGGTTACTTGGACTCTAAGATCAAGCTTCCCCCGCCCACCCCCAACCCCTACCCCGCCCCCAACCTTGATGCTTCTTTTGAACATCATTACTAATGCGCTGTTTACTTTTGAGGATTTCTCTCCTTTTTTGGACAGATGCTAATACAGAAACATCCTTTGTCACAGTTGTGAAATGCTCTGATAATTCCAAGCAGGACATCGATGGTCTAAAATAGCAACCAAGTATGAGTGAGAGAGGTTATTTGGAGAGAATCACGGCTATTTTTAAATGGAGGGGAGGAAAAGCAGTGGACGTCCAAATGGCAAGACTGGCGTGACCGGAGTCCATTTGTAAAGGTCTGTGTTGTGCAAATTTCCCCAGCTATTTCGCAGCATCCTCAGGATGTCCCCATCCTTCCTGAATCGGGAAGAAGCTACCACAGCAGCAGGAGCATAGCTCTCCTCAGGGAAGCCACACCTCCTGAGCACTCCCGCAGGTGCAAGACGATGGGGGGCGCGCAAGAGGAAAGCTTGGAGAAGCGCCGGGGTTCTGGAAGTCCCACCTGCTTTGGTGGTCACTTTGAGGAGGTAGCCATCCAAGTCGATCTGGAAGTTGGGCGCCCGGCAGGGCAGCGCGATGCGCGTGCCATTCCAGCGCACAGTGAGGTGCTGCTGGAGGCTCACAGTGCTCTTGCCCACCACCAGGTCCACGGACTTGGTCCAGGAGAAGGAGCGGGTCCTGCGGGCATCATTCTTCACCAGCACCTGAAAGGGCGAGGCAGGGGAGGAGCAGTCTTTCGTCAAAACGTACTGACACGTCCCCTGAAAGTTAAATGTCCGTCCGTCAAAAGTGTTGTAGTGGGGATCTCCGAAAACCGTGCACACGCCGGGCTCTGCGGGTGAGTGAGAGACAAAAGCAGCGTCACAACCAAGCGTAGGACTGACGGAAATCAGGGGCCCCTGCAGGATACCTGGTGGGGGCACCTGCCAGTTAAGGGAGGGCCTTTGGCAGAGATGCACTAAGGGCAATCAACTTTATAAAAAAACACAAAACCAACCTTACAAAGTTTTAAAAGTTTGTACCCAAACCTCATAGGGCATATTATACTGCTGGTACTTTAATATAGACAGATTATTTATAACACTGCTGAATTTTAAAAATATACATTATTGTAAAAAATACAGAGAACATAACAAACACTTGCCAATTCTGATTTTTAAAAACATTTTCACTTTTTGGCCTTGCTGTGTTTCTATGGTCTTAATAGTGTAAGAGATGAGGCATTGACCAAAGATAAGTTTACAAACAGAAAGGACTGGACTGATTCACTAACCATATAAACAAGAATGCAAAACATTAAAAAGCAGCAACAAAAATCACAATAAACAAAATTAATTATACTTAATCAGGAATATTTCCATTAAGTTCAGTCAAAGGACTTAGAAAAGATAATATTCTAAATGTTACCAGCAGTTTTATAGAAAATCACAATTGTCCATGTTCACATGTTTACTAAGGACAGATAAATAACTTTGCCAAAATAGGTAAATCTTTTTTACCCACAGGAGCCAAAGCACTGATAAAGTTAATATTTACAGATTAGTTTTTACATGCTTTTAGAAACACTAAGTTTCTGTTTGGATTTGTGCACCAAAATTTAAAGTTAAAAAGCATATTGGGAAATTCATTACATGAGAAATATAAGAAATTCCAGTAAATTCATCACTTCAAAATAGCACTAATATTTATATGGTCTTATGAGGCCCAAGCAAATACATTAAGACATTGCAAAGATTTTCATAGAAAACTGAATATTGTTTTTCTTTTTAAAAGAAAGATTGGTACTGATTTATTCTCCAAGCAAAGATATTTTATCTCTTTTCAAAGAGGCATGAAACAACCAGGAAATGAGGAAATCATTTGGAGAAACTAGTCTAAACTCTGAAAGAAGCGTAATAAAAAGAGCAATTTCCAGTCAACACCAGAACAAGTCAGGAATATGAAAGTATCCTGTAAGCAAGTGCTTGGAATCCTGAAAAGGAGGATTAGGAGTCAAGACCGAGAAGGATCTGCCAATGGAGCTGATAGGACCAACAGGACCCAAGGGAAACATTTGCTTTTCATTTCTCAAGTGTTTGGAGAGCAGTGTTGCCTTACGTTGTGGTACATGATGTTACTTCATATGTCAATTTCATGTGACTTCACATAGATAACATGTGTTTGGAAGCGGATAAAGTAATGACTGGTTCTAAATGAGTTTTCCTTGCCAATATGTTATAGTGATTCCAATTTAAAAAAGGAAAGAGATGGTGTGGGTAGGAGAGTTGGAATCAACAAATAATTGGAAATAAATATAAATATATAACCTTCCTTGAGGGAGAGGGTGGACAAAGTAGATGTGGAGGGAAGCTTTGAAAGTCCAGCAGTAGTATTTGAATTCATCTTCCATTTCTGTTCCTTTCTTGTTTTCTCCTTTTTTCTTGTAGTCTCAATTTTACCTAATTTGTGGGCTCACAATGTACTCTCCCCACTTTCCTTATCCTGTGCCCCCAACTGATGCCCCTGCCCTTCTGACCACCTATAGTCCACTTCTCAGCCCTTTCCTCATGCCTGTGCAGGTGCCCCATCATACATTTCTTTTTTACTCTGGCCAGTGGCATTTCTCTGGTGTGGATAAGTGCACTTTGGTTTTCAGGGAGCAGGGCAGCTGATACCCCAATGATCATGAAGAGACCTGGGGTTCAGTGTTATTACGACTGGTGCCACCAAAACGAACAAACCCAAACACACTGCCACCAAGTCCATTCTAACTCCTGGTGACCCTGCACTGGGATGCTGAGGCTGTAAATCTGTACGGGAGCAGACAGCCTCAACTTTCTCCCTTGGCTGAGCCACCCACTTTGGGGTCAGCAGTCCAACGCTTCCCAAACAGGAAGGACTTACTTTAACCCTGGCCTCAGATGCTTGAGTGGAAGATAAGGGCATTTTCAATGTTCTTAACTCCACCTCCACTGTCTGTCGCTTCACCCACTGGAATGGTTTGCGTGTTCTTAGGACGAGAGGGTCTCTGCCCGCAGTATTTCAGATTATCAGCAGAGTCACCCAGAGTGGACAGGTTTCCATAGAGTGTGCACACGAAGACAGACTAAGAAGAAAGACCTAGTTAGGGATCTACTTCTGAGAAATAGCCAATGAAAGCCCTATGTATCATAACAGGCTATTGACCAACATAATCCTGGAAGATGGCCCTGCCATGGCAAAGCAAGGTATTTGTATTAGTCTGGGTACTTTAGAGAAACAAATCCACAGCAACTCATGTATAAGAGAGTTTTATGTAAAGAAAGTGTGCATCACGAAAACATCCCAACCCAGTGCTGCCCAAGCCCAAAGTCCAACATTAACCCATTAACCCAACACCAGTCCACAAAGTCCTCCACCTCACAAAACAGAGGCAATGATGCCGACTGCAGGAGGAAAGCTGAGTCAGTGAACAAATAAGCATCTCAGAACTAGCAGGGGTCTCCACACACAGCTGCTCCAGTACCCAGGGCTGCATCGGGATAGGTCCATGTGGCTTCTCCTTGGGGATATCTTGTAAGAAGCCAATCTTGCAAGCTGAAGCAGGGAACTGCTAAGGCAGCTGCACCCTGGTGCGACCATCACAAAGCAAGAGACCCAAAAACTAGAAAGGCGAGGCTCACCACCCATTTATCCCTCTGCCTTTCAATTAGCCCCACATGTGATTATCGGCCAGGTTGGCACAATGAACTAACTCAGCATTCTTTACACAGTTGCCACATCAGTGGACTCTAACATGTGGACGATCATGTGGATAGCATGGGAGTGGACCACCAACGACTAATTGACAACTAACAACCACTCTGCCTACTAAGCAAGAAAACGTAGAGAGAGCTGAGCTACTGAGCTTGTAACAGATGTGCCTCGGCTTGGACAGGGCAAAGCATCATAAAGGAAATTATTTCTCAACTCGGAGCCGTCACAGGAAAAGCTTATACCTTCTCTCCTGCGTCCGCTGTCTGTCGCAACTCTTCTCCCACACCGAGGACCCTCCACAGCACTCCCTAAAGCTCTAACCACAGTTTCATCAGAAGTCATCATTTGTCAGAACAAGAATTCACATTTACTCGGAATCCACTGCATGTCTTTGCACTATTCTGTAAATCTAATGACTGTGGATTTAGCAATAAGAATGATGTTTACATCATTGCCAATGCTGAAAAATACTTGATAGTAGATCCGTAACATAAACTATTATCCAGACATGAAAAAGCTTATGAGTGATTTTAATGACTGGGGAAATGCTTATGAGAAGTGAAAACTTAAAAACACAATTTTATGTATACTTGTATCTTAACTATAACACACACGCAAACTTAAAAAAAAATAAAAAGACTTTACCACCATAAAGTTGATTCTGACTCATTGCAACTGTAGAGGCCAGGGTAAAACTGCCCTTTGGGGGTTTTTAGCCTTTAATTCTTAATAGGAGTAAACAGCCTTATTGTTCTCTTGTGGAAGGGCTGGTGGGTTCACACCTCTGGCCTTGGGATTGACAGCTCAATGGATAACATGCTACCCCACCAGAGCGTCTACACACACACACACCACCACCACCACCACCACTACCACCCACCCCTAAAATTTTAAATGGGTTTATCTTGGTTACAGAACCATGAGTGATACCGTAGTTATTTCTTGCTCTGTTTCTGCTCTGTTTTGTTCCATTGAAGAGGCAAAACATGGGTCCTTCTTGATAAAGCCAATTATGTGACACAGTGAATTCTCAAAGATGCAACAGACAATATACTGCCTATAGTTGCCCAAGGGATAGTAAGGCTTGCTTGTTCATAGCTGGGCAGGAAGCAATGAGGGGCATCTGGGGAAAGACTGGGCAGAAGAAATCATGTGTAAACAGACTGTCAGGAAAGATATTTTTCAAGAGGCCCTCACTGTCGGAGAGAAGGGCTGGGAGATTGGGGTGATTTTTCGGTGTGACAGCTAGATAGCAGAGGCCAACAAAATTTCATGACTAGGAAGATGCCTGAGAATTATGTGTTGCATTTAGGGCCATTTGTATTGTGAGGAAAAACAATTTTGCAACCTTGGCCCATTTCCCTGGCACCTCACGGTCTCTGTGCCAGACCCTCCAGGCGCAGAGAACACGTGCACTGGAGAACGGCTCAAAGTGGGACGCTCAGGCTTATAAAACTGCCTCGCGCGGACACTTAGGGGACCAAAATGAACATTATATTCTCATCTTACTTTTTTTGTCCAGCACACCCAGAAACATGCTGCAGTCCAAGATGTCCAGATGTCCGGTCACTCTTCTGGGTTGCGTGGCGTGAGAGTGGGGGATGGGGGGCAGTACAAATAAACAGACCGTTCCAGAACCAGAATGGTCTGAATGAGGGTAAAGCAGGGGATGGAGAGAAAAATGCCACTTGACCAGTGGCAGGACTTTTTTAGGGGTGGTGGGGTGGTGGTGGTGGTAGACCTTTAAACTAAATATGAAGTTCTTGGGCATCACCAAAAATTAAGAGCTTGATTATATATAACCAAGAGGTTTATCATTGGAACCACCCACAGGTGCTTAAGAAGAAAGGTCTGGCAATCTATTTCTGAACAAGCAACCGTTACAGACCCTATGAAGCTCAGTTCCACTCAGTAGCACATAGGTTTCTAAGAGGTGGAACCCAATTGATGATAACGCTGTGTGTGTTTATGTGAAGTCCAATAATTAGATTTCACATATTATACACACAAACAAACGTATAGGCATGAGAGGAAACAGGATTAGAAGTAGATAAACCTAAATATTTAGAGTGTTGTTTTTCTCTGTTAGGTAATGGGATTGTGCAGGATGCTTCTTCT